TTTATTTTTGTATTTGAACTAAAAAGATCTTAAATTAAGAACGGCGTGTCACAAACCAATTTTAATAATGAAAAATTGATAAATTCCGAAACGCTCTAATGAAAATTCATGTGTATGTCTCGTAACAGCAAGTGTTGACTATTTTGAACACATGGAAAATAGAAAACATGGGTCTGTAAAGACCAGTAGTTTGCGCGAAAACTAATCGATTTCGTGTTTTGAATTTATTTTTAATTATTCTAAAAATAAATTATGATCTAGATAAATCTTATCCAGATTTCACCTTCCCACAAAAAAAGTTGATTCAGTTGACTTGCTAAGGTTAAATTAGCTCTTGTTGTTGTTTGTGGGTGTTAGATTAATGCGGTCTGACTCTTCATTGGGGCTTTCCATTTTTTAATAAGAAATTTATTGGCAACAAATTTAATTTAAAGCAATTGATGTTATCAATATTGCCGTTGTTGTATTCTTTTTGTACTTCTTTCTTTTAAAATATGCTGTTATTTTTCCTCTTCACCTTAAAAAAAGAAGAACAAAAAGAATATTCTTTATATGAAATACATTTTTTTTTGTTTTGATGGTTTGCCTAATTTATGGGATTTTTACTTTCAATTCAGAACAGGAGAAAACGACAATTTGAAAAGACAGTTTTTTGAGTAAATAATATAAATAATAATATATATATTATAAGAATTTAAATTAATATATAGAACGAATGATGTATCGATACAACAATTGACCAACACTATATGTACTTGATGTGTCAATGTGAACAACAGTTTGTGCCTTCAGTTCAAATGTTTGAGTTGTGTAATAGTTGCATTATCGACTCGAAAGAAAAAGAATACCACTCCATCATCTTTTCAATTGTGTGTTCGTTTCTTGTTTTTGGATTGTCATTCTTGACTGTAGTGACTGTGTCATTAATTTCAATTCTTGTCAAAGTGCTTAATATCGAAATACCAACACAACAAAGTTATTTTCGACTTGTGGAAGTTTAATTCTATTTATTGTATTCTTATAATTTTGTTTTTAATTGGTTATATTATAAAATGGTCAATGATTTTTATAAAAAAACTCGGTCTATACGTGAACACCATCATCATATAAATATTCGGGCTCTCTTTATAGACTTCATCGCTTTGATCTTTGAATTAGTAATGTTTATAATTTAAAATATATTTGAAATTTTGAATTATTATATAGTATTGTATTATTAATAAATAACTAATAATTATTTTAATAATTTGTATTGTTATCAAATTATAGTTTACTTATTATAATCTATTATTAATTTTCTTATTTATTTTAGAAATGATTAAAATAATTATAGTTTAATAATTTTGCTATTCCATTTATTAGTGTTCTCAGTTTTTGAACTGAAGTTTTTTTCTTTTTTTTTCAAATTGAAAAAAATCACATTTAATAATTTAATAATTTCTACAGATAAGCAACTAATTTGTTACAGAAACTAATTTGTCTTATAAACCTATTAGCTTCTCAATTTTTCAATTTTAAGTCATATGAAGTCAATATATCTAACCTGAATATTTATAATAATAATATAATAATATAATAATATTATAATAATAAAATTAAAAATTGATGATGGTTGACATGTATGTATTGAGTTTTTTTTTATAAAAATCATTGAAGGTTTTTTATTTTTAAAAATTAAAAATACCTCCAAGCAAAGCGACAATACACTTTTCCCATTGATCGTCAATAAAAAAAATATTATTTGTTTTTTAAACAGGTTTATTTCTTTTTTTAAACTAGAAGATAAAAAATATAATTATTTTACAAATGAATGAAGAGAACAAAGAAAGTGTTATAAATACTCAAAAGCACCACCAAATGAAACACTTATAACTCCACGTTGTTTAATCATACAAACATTTTTGAATTTCAATGAAATATAATTATTAAAGAATATAAGAATATTAAAATAATGAGACAGTGTATAAAAATAAATGTTAACATATTAAAGTAACAACTATGATAAAGATATATAGTTTGTGAAAAAATAAATATACACCAATGTTTATTTATATTCAAATTAGAAGAATTACAAAAACAGTAATTCAAATTATGATGAAACATTTTGAAAAACAACTTCAAAATATACGAATGATAATAAATTCCATTTATATATTAATTATCAATCAAAATGGTTAGGTTTAAAGCCGTTTTAAATGTAATAATAATTTATATAATAAACAAATTTGCACAATTTAGATATTTATGAAAATTTGAAAAATCATAAAGAATCGTTTGAAATACTTGAATAGATTATTGTTAAAATAATAATTTACTGTTACCATAACATTCATTCAATTTTTCATATAGACACTGTTAATTTTAAATCATATTGCGAGTTTTCAATGTTATCATTAAAAAATAATATACAAATGTCTTTTATTCAAATGTATTGTCATAAGACTAT